TGTTGTTGTTGTTATTGTTTTGTTTTTCTCCCGCAAATCGCCGGAGGGGCAGACTCTGGGAGCGAGGAGGAGAATGAAATATTGTTGTGGAGGTTGTGGCTAGCGTTAGGGTTTGGGGGCGATTGGGGGTTGTGGCTGTCATTGCTGGAGTCAACGACAAAGGTAGGGTTGTCGTCGGTGGGATCGGAGAGGAAGGTTGGGGGGAGGGGGGACGGGTGGGAAGGATTTCTGGGTTTTGGGATTTTAGGTTGCAGGGAGAGAGAAGAGAAAGAAGCGAGAGAGAGAGAGAGAGAGAGAGAGGAGAGAGAGAGGGTTGGGTGGGAAAGAACTCAGATAAGGGGATCTAGGTTTTTGGGGAGGGGGACACGGGTTGATGGGTTTTTTTCTGGTTTTTTTGTATTTTTTTTTAAACTTCTAATATTTAATTAATTTTTTTAAATAGTTAATTAATTTTTTTAATAAAAAAATGGGTCTCGTCTCTGGCCACGTTAGCATTTAACAGAAAAACTGACGGATGTCTGATATTGGCACAAATTCGTAAGATGAGGTATGACATTGTTAATTTTAAAAGATGAGGTATGAAAGTGTCGTGACACCAATAGTTGAGGTAGTTTTTTGTACTTTACCCTTCAAAAATTTATGACGAACAAAACAATCATATACAGTCTAGAATTAACTGAATTTCTTTAGTAAATATCATGATACTAAACATATACTGCAAAAAGGTCTTGATGAAGTAAAAGTAGCAATAAACTTCTTACAAATAAGTAACACTAACAAATCATCTGCCAAGGAGATGTAGTGGTAAAGTTCTTTATTATGACAACTCAATACTTGAAAACTTAAAACAGATAAGGCCCATGAAGCTCTTCTAATGAAGTAAACCCTTATGTGTTGTCTCAGGAGACGTTGAAAATAAAAGTAGACAAGCACATGTAAAACTTTACAAAGAGATGCATGCATATAGCTTAATTTAAGAAAGAAAAGTAAAATCACATTTATATACCATTGCTTAATTGAAGTGCCGCTTAATCAAAATCACCCTCACATAAAGCCAATCATTCAAGACATTCAAGAAGCTGAAGTACGAGTATCTCCATGGCTTGATGAAAATTAGGTTGCCACAAAATCCCCAAAATCCAATAATAAAACCAAGCGTCATGCTAATGTAAAATCCCCATGTTATAGGCTCATCCTTTTCTTCTGCATTGCTTGAGATCACGGTTTCATGTTGATCATCACACATCTTTTGAATTAGAGGTCCGCACAGTTGAGGATTTTCAGCATAATTAGAGGGATCAGATAGACCCAGACGTGTGAGAAATATGCATTGCATGACAAAGTTAAATCTCACCGTTCGTTACAATCCAAAGGCTGATACGAGAAGAAAATAATCACGGATGGGAAATGTGGACATGTGTCTTTAACAAAACACCAAAAAAAAAAAAAAAAAAAAAACCCCAGAAATTTGTTTTTGTTATGAATAATGCTAGAGAAAACAATATTTTAAAACAAATTATATGGTAGAAAATAAACACGGTAATCAAAACTTAACTAATAATTCAATTATTAACAATCATATCATTTGGTTAGTAAATTTGGTTTAAAAATTTGGTCTCTCTAGCATTATCCGTTTGTTATCATGGGATGGTTTGTGGTTTGGATTAACCTAAAATGAGATCTATTTTTACTCCGTAATTAAATATTAAATCCAATAGTGAATCATCATATATTTCTTGGTCACTAAGTAACCAAGAGAACATTTTTGGATTTTGGGTATCTAAATTTTATTCAATAAATCATAAGATGAACACACATTATATGTTTATTTCCTATGTTTTCATTATGTTTTAATATTTTATAATTTATAAGCTTGCACTTGTTCATACGCTAATAATAAATTTACTTAAAATCGCCTAAGCGCTAGGCCCAACTCGTCACTCAAGTAGCGCCTAACATCTTTTTAAAATCTTGGCAAGAGCACAATAATTCCCCCATCTTAAAAACAATTACAATCAAGATCAAGACGCAGAAACACAATTAATCAAGAATTCATCGCCTTTGCCCCTATTAAGTCGAGTTTTGAAAAGTCAAAATATGTCGAATTTTTTTTTTCAATCGTGCAAGTTAGTCGAAATTTCGAATGGTAGTGATCTCGCAAAGTCTTTTCATATGTAACAAGTCTATTAACCTGACCTATGTGATCGGGCAAACTTTTGTAAGACTTGTGTGGAAAATATCAGCCATTAGAACCAGATTGTGCGGCCAAAATAAATTTAAAACTTTTTCATTTATTTTCTACGCGCAATGAAGCGTCTTTCTTTTGCCCGTTTCTCTTGTTCCTTCGTATTCTTTCTTTACTCATGAGTTCAGTTTAATACGATTTGATTTTTGTCAAAACTGAAGTTAGTATTATTGAAATATTTCACATCAATCGTATGTATGATAAAAGAAGAATTTAAATATCCTAACACACTTTAACTAATGCTGAGACATTTTGTGATAAAATTTCATACCTGACGGATTGTGCATATGATAATTAATTGCCAAGTTGGGAATAATATCGGTGTTGCTAGAGTGGACATTTAGCTCATCTCTTCAATAATTCTACATGATACCAGAGCCAATGAGCGGGCCTGTACTGCCACATGATGGTTGGTTCCCCTTGGCCCCACGTGATGATGGTGGGTCCCTTGACCCTGCATGTGAGGTAAGTCCTCTTAGCTCCATGTGGTATATGTGATCCATAAATTTGGTCCAACGTGAGGGAAGTGTTGAAATATCACACATCAACTGTATTTTTGACAAAATAAGAGTTTAAATATCTTAACCCCACATCTAACGGATTATGCAGGTGGTAATTACCAAGTTGAAGACAATATCAGTGTTGTTGGAATGGGCCTTTGGCCCATCTATCTGATAATTCTACATGGTATCAGAGTCAAGAGTGGGCTTGTACTGCTACATGATGGTTGTGAACAATATCAGTGTTGTTAGAGTGGGCATTTGGCCCATCTCTCTGATAATTCTACAACTATTTGGTTCGGTCGAGTTTGAATTTTTTTTTTTTTAATTCATAAAAAAAATAAACAGAAGTAATTCGGTTTGGCCAATTTCAGTTTGGTTTTGATGATGCGGCGTTAAGATTAGATTAATATCCCACACGCACAGTACTTCCTGTTCTTCTCTTCACTACACCACAAACCACTTTCTATAGCATTCAATAAATATATGCATAAGCTAAAAATATGCATCTAAGCATTCTCCGTCGTTTGATTAACTCCACCCTTACTTAAACCCAATCGATCGTTTACAACATTTAAGAACTTGAAATATGCACATCTCCATGACCTATTGAATATTAATTTGCCACAAACGCCCCAAAATCCAACAACAAACCCGATCCCCTTACTGATGTAAAAATCCTCTCTATGCATCCAATGCAGGGATTGCAGTACGAGCATGTTCTTTAGAGTCAAATTAAGACCAAGAACCACAATTACTTAGGAAAGCAAAATAATTCCACTTGATAAATCAAGTACCAAGAGCATCTCCCATACCGTCTTCATATTTGAGGATTTCTTTGAGATATTTGGTGATTTCTTATATACTGAGATACCTTGAGACCTGTATTCCGGTTCATTAGAAGACATTTGTCCCTATATTTAGGTGATGGGTAATCCTAAGGAAACCAAATTTGCAAACCAAATGATGTGGTTGTTGATAATTGGATTATTATTTTTAGTGTTGATTAACTTGCTTATTTCTTATTGGTAACACATTTGGTTTGCAAATTTAATTTAAAATTTTGGTCTCCCTAACATTACCCTTAGGAGATATGGGGATATGAGGACTCTATTTATTGTCCCCATTGAAGATGCTCACTTTACAATAATTCCATTAAACAACATGATTGATAAAGTGAGACTTTTTGATGCCCCATTGAAGAAGCTCGCATTACAATAATTCCACAAAACTACTTTCTTTTTATTCACCAAGGTATTAAAAATCCTAGTGTAAAGCCCCTTTAACCTATAAAAATAATTTTAGCAAGACCGTAATTTTCAAAAGTGATTATCTTTTTAAGTGAACCACTGAATCTAGGATGAAAGTTAATCCCTTTAAAACTGAGGCACTCAACACACGCTTCAGTAGTAGGTGAGATGTTATGGTTAAAAAATAAATATTATTTGAACAAGTGCTTACACCAGAATTATTGGCCTTGAATTTAGGGCTACATCTAACTTTTCTAATTCAAGCAATATTCTAATCTAAACTAAATTATAGGAAGGGAAATTCGAACTTCGGGTGCAAGTTCAAGGGGGAGCATATTGCTCTAACCAACTTGGCTACACCCAGGTATGGTGGGACGACAAATGGCTTAAGTTAGGGGAAAAGGATCCTCTCCGGATCCATTTTGTGGGGATCCTAAGCATCCTAACCGTTCATCGTACATCAAGCAGACAATTTTCGTCAGATACTATTTGTGTTTAATTTTAAATAATAAAAGTCAAATGATTTCTGACCGCACGATACACAATGAATGGCTAAGATGTAGGGATCCCCACAAAGTGGATTGGGATCCAATTCCTAAGTTAGGGACATTGTTAGATTGTGAATGAATATGACAGTGTCTAGTTGTTTTCCTTACGAAAAGAGTGATTCAATGGACACTCGAGAATTGTCTCTGGGCACCCAAGAATGGTTTATGAACAACTAAGAATTTGTCGTTATAGTTGGGTGTCCGCAGAATCACCCTTATGCAGAAGAATATATTTACAGAGGGAGAGGAATATCCAACTTTTGGGGGTCACTGTCGATTGTTAAAAGCCTCTTCTGCAACTGGATCTGCAAGGGAAAGAAACATGGCAGCAGATGGCTTACCTTGGTCTGGGTTTGCATTTGAGACTCGACACACTGCAACTGTTTTAAGTTGATGTCCCTAGCAGATGTCTGGTCCGACGTCCAGATAATAGTACCATCCATGTCTCCAGTGAAGATACTAATCAAACAGCCTGTCTTTCTATATTGCTGACATAAATTTTAGTTCATCAAATCATTACATCCATTCAAATATTACAAATTTAAAACATCCATTGATCCCATTTGAAGAATCAAGGTGAATAACCATTCTAATGAAATCATCAATGAAATCCCCCTTTTTTTATATATATAATGGGGTAGGATTAATATTTTCTGCTAGCAATCACAGTCTAAGATAACAGAACGATTACAGAACTGTTTCTTTGCTGCCATTAGCTCAAAATGCCTCCTTTGTTATTCCATAGTAGACTGGTTCTTCGCCTACAAATATAATGAAATTCAAGAAAAAAGCAGACCCACCAACAATATATGTCCCTTGAGTCTGACCATCTTCACCCCGCTGCTTCTCACTGGCCACACCTGATGGAAACTTAGTTTCTGATGGCTTCCCAAAAGCCCTTGTATCTTGGAGCTTTTCAGCTGGTGCATTCTTACTTCTTGTTGCCGAAACTGTTTCTGCCGTCATCTGTTTGCAAAGTTCCATCAGAAGCTTCACATCTGCAATTGGCAACATACATGATCATAAGCACATCCCATGATCAATCCATAAAAAGTCACTTTCTACTTGTCCGTCAAAAGGCAAGTAACAAACAACATCTCATGCAATTGGCTCCGTCAAAAAGCCTTGAACTCAAAAGTGTCCAAAGGGATACAAAAACTGGAGAAAAGGCATACATGGAGCTCAAGAAACTCAGGACAGAACCATGCGTCAACATAAGAAGATGAGTGAGACAGATATCTCCTCGTAAAGGAAGCAAAAGGCCATCAGAATGCTACTAACAATATCTAGTATTGGGTGGCCAACAATAAAATTATCACAAACTGAGTTTCAAGGGTGAAACTCAATATGATCATTCACATGATAGATTAATAAACCAAGTTAGCATGTCAAGGAAAGTCGGGAGTCATAACCATAGCATTAATAAACCATTTGCGTTAAGATTAACAAATCAGGTCAGATTTAATAATCCATCTGAATGCTACTAACAACATTCTAGGATTGCGTGGCCAACAATAAAACTATCACAAACTGAGTTTCAAGCGTGAAACTCAATATAATTATTCACCCGACAGATTAATAAACCAAGTTAGCACGTGAATGAAAGTCGGATGTCATCATAAGCACCGCATTAATAAACCACTTATTTTAATATTAAAAAATCAGCTCAGGTTTATCATACAACTCAAGGGATAACTATATGTCATTGTGTGAAAAGATGAAAACAAAATCTTGATGAGCTTACATTCTTGAATTTCTTCGGATGGCTTGCATGTTCCAAAGTCAGGGGTCTGGAGAACCTTCAAGATAACAAAAGACAAGAAGTTACTATAAAAACACTAGTACGCAGTGCTCTCTTGATTGGGATTTGGTAAGGTGTGCAGAGATGTTTATCAGGTTGGATTCAATCTGTCAAATATATTTATCTGCTGCAATTGCAGCAGGGTTTTATATACAGCTTTAATACATACGCATGCTAATAAACAAAGCACATACACATGCTAATAAACTAAGCACATACGCATGCTAATAAACAAAGCCACTGCAAGTGGCATCCTTTACAGCTTTACTACATACCTATGCTAATAAACAAAGCCACTGGAAGTGGCGCTGTCCACTATGCATAAACATACAATTCTTAACTTGGGAATATGCTTTCAATCTGTAAAGCACAGTGAATGATGGTAGGTACATACACCCATGCTTGTGACAGGGATTCTGCACTGCATGTGGAGCATCAGTACACCCATGCTTGTGACTGGGATTCTGCATTGCATGTGGAGCATCAGATCATGGGTTAACAGCCCCCCGCAAGCGAACAGGTGGGGGAACAACTGGAAGCTTGGAGACAAGAAAATTAAATCGTGAAGAAGAGAGGCCTTTAGTAAAAATGTCAGCAAGCTGGTCTTGAGAACACACATAACTTACTACGAGCTGTTTGCGAACCACCTTTTCACGAACATAATGGTAGTCGACCTCCAGATGCTTAGTGCGCGAGTGGAAGACTGGATTGGACGCCAGGGCAATTGAGGAGATGTTGTCACACCAAATGGTTGGTGGAACCAAAGTTAAATGAAGATCTTTGTAGAGAGACCTTAACCATGATAATTCTGCAGCAGTATAAGCTAACTGGCGATACTCCGCTTCTGCACTCGAACGTGAAACGGTCTTCTGCTTCTTTGAACTCCAGGAGACAAGATTAGAACCCAAATAAACACAGAAACCACCTGTAGAATGACGAGTATCAGGGTTGCCAGCGTAATCTGCATCCGAATAAGCTGTCAACGTAGCAGTTCCTGGTTGATACAGTAAGCCATGATTATATGTAGCTTTTAGATACCGAAGAATTCTCTTGACTGCCATCCAGTGTGTGTTTTTCGGGGAATGCATAAACTGGCACACTTGATTCACAGCGTAGGACAGATCAGGTCGTGTGATGGTGAGGTACTGGAGCGCCCCCACAACACTGCGATACATATCTGGTTTGCCGTAAGGATCGCCAATATGAGCACTCAGTTTCTGACCAGACGACACAGGAGTAGAAATAGGTTTGGCATCTGTGAATTTTGTGCGAGTGAGGAGATCCAGTGCATATTTAGACTGACACAGATGCATGGCATCACCATTATACTTTACTTCAATGCCTAAGAAATAACTGAGCGGTCCCAAATCTTTCATTTGAAACAAACTACCAAGTTTCTGAATCAAATGAGCCACCTAGCGTGGATTGTTCCCTGTTATAAGAATGTCATCGACATAAATTAACAGAATAATATATACACCCTGCCTGTCAAACACAAAAAGGCTATAATCACACGTAGATTCCTCAAACCCTAGTTGAAACAAGAAATCAGAGAACCGTTGAAACCAAGCCCTGGGCGCTTGTTTGAGACCATAAAGAGATCGATGTAGCTTACATACATGATGAGGAAACTGGTTGTCAATGAAGCCTGATGGTTGTCTCATGTAAACATGTTCATTTAAATATCCATGCAAAAACGCATTCTGCACATCAAGTTGGCGTACAGGCCACTTCTTTGACACAGCAAGACTCAACACGAGTCGAATGGTGCTATGCTTTACCACAGGGCTGAAAGTTTCGGTGTAATCCACACCAGCTTTCTGATGAAAACCATTGGCAACTAATCGAGCTTTATGACGCTCTAGAGTGCCATCAGCGTGACGTTTAATTTTAAACACCCATTTGTTGGGTAGCACATTCATTGTAGAATTGTACGGAACTAAGCTCCAAGTTCCATTTCTTTGTAGTGCATTAAACTCCTGCGCCATAGCTTCTCTCCACGCCTGATGTTTGACTGCCTGACTGAAACAGGTAGGCTCAACAAGAGAGTTATCAAGTGCAACATGCATAGCATATTTTGGATTTGGTTTGAGAACCCCTAATTTAGACCGTGTAGTCATAGAATGTCCAGTATCACTAGGGACAGTGGGTTGCACACGATGTTCAGTTACTAAAACTTGCTCATTTGATGATAGTGAGGGTCCTATAGAAAGGTTAGGGTCTAAAGGTGGGTTGAGCTGGGATACAGGTTCAACCATGGATGGTGGAGTAGTGGGTAATGGAAAGTTAGTTAAGATATGAGGGAAAAAATTGTTACCTTGTTTGTCGACACTGTCAGAAGGAGATGTGAGTCCCTTAAAAGGGAATGAGTCCTCGTCGAATAGAACATGGCGAGACAAATAAACTCGTCTTGTGGTCATGTCCAAGCATCTGTATCCTTGATGGTTCAAAGAATATCCAAGAAAAACACAGGACTTTGATTTTGGTTGTAACTTGTTTTGCGTGTATGGTGTTAGCCATGGAAAGCAACGGCAACCAAACACCTTCAAAAACTCATAATTGGGTTTTCTTTGAAATAATTTCTCAAACGGAGATGTATCAAATAATACACGAGTAGGTAATCTGTTTATTAGATATGTGGCAGTTGAGCATGCATCAAACCAAAACGAAGTTGACATGAAAGACTGAGCAAGCATAACCATGGCAGTTTCGACAATATGTCGATGTTTTCGTTCAGCTAAACCATTTTGTTCAGGATGTTTAGGGCAAGAAAAACGTTGAGAAATACCATGAATATCAAGAAACCTTTGAAAAGAATGATTCTTATATTCACCACCTTCATCACATTGAAGAGTTTTTATGGATTGGTTAAACATATTTTCAACTTTAGCTTTAAACTTCACAAATATCGCAAAAACTTCAGATTTTTGTTTCATGGGAAAAATCCATGAATATCGCGAATAATCATCCACAAACAACAAATAATAACGAAAACCTTCGTTAGAAGGAATTGGAGAACACCACACATCTGAATGAATAAGTTGCAAAGGAAAATGAGACCTAGACTCTGACGAGTGGAAAGGTAATTTAGTACTTTTACCTAGAGGACATGACTCACAAAAGCGTACATCAGAGGTACCATGAATTGGTACCAATTTATTTGAAATTAAAAACTTGATTATTGGTTTTGCAGGATGGCCAAGGCGTGCATGCCACTTTTGAACCGACACTCGAACTCCCACACATGCAGTAACAGAATGCTTACGACAGCCACTGCCATTTGGAAATGGGTACAACCCATTCTCACATCTCCCTCGGAAAAGCGTCTTCCGTGTCTTGAGATCCTTTACAAGGAAAACATGGGGAAAAATAAGTAAGTAACAATCATTATCTAGGGTAAACTGATGAGCAGAAAGGATATTAGTGGAGGCAGTTGGGCAATGAAGAATGTCACGTAAAACAAATGAGCAAGATTTAGTTTGAAGTTTACTGGAACCATAATGTGCAATTGAGATGCCCGTGTGATTACCTACACCTCCTACTCCTTCATTCCCGTGATACTCTTTTGGATTGGCGAGATTCTGAATGTCAGGAGTAATGTGTGCATTGGCTCCTGTGTCTAGGAGCCAAGAACCATTCTGCTGTTTGTTAAGAGTAATTGGTGAAGAAGTCATGGCCGAGAGTCGTTTGGCCGGAATTCGTCCTTCAAAGGCAGTGTTCATGCGCTGGTAGCAATCCAACGCAGGATGACCTGGTTTACCACATATTTGACACACAATTCTATCACCACAAGAAACAAACCTTTCGCCAGTACCTTGATTATTCTGTGAAGCATTGTAATGGCGAGGATTGGGACCTCGTTGAGCACCACCACGATGTGAGTAGTTCCCGCGTCCACCACCACGGGAACGACCACCCCCACGTCCTCGAGAAGCCACAAAGGCATTAACAGTGGCTCCTTCAACCAACGGAACATTGTGTTCCACCATTCTCCTTTCTGTTGTCAGCAGCAAGGATTCAAGGGCAGGATAAGTGATAGGGTTGTCACGAGCTTGTGCTGCACTCACAGTCATCTCATACGCTGGTCCAAGATTATTCAACACAATCTGGACCAGATCATCATCACTCACAGGTTGCCCAGCAAGAGCAAGATTGTCAGCAATCGCATTTATGCGATCAAGGTAATCCGCCACAGAGAGATCACCTTTTTTGGTCTGCAACAATTCATTCCGTAGAAACAAAATACGATTCTGAGACGTGGATGCATACCTTTGCTCCAGAGCTTCCCAAGTAGCTCGAGCAGTTCTTTTGCTTGCCACCACAGACAAGACAGACGCATTCAGAGATCCATTAATCCAGCTAAGGATCATTTGATCCTGTTGCACCCACGTTGTGTACGCAGGATTCACGGTTGTCAAACCAGCAACATGTTTTGGGGGACACACCAAGGTGCCATCAACATACCCCATCAAGTCCCGGCTTTTTAAAATAGGGAGAATTTGAGCCAACCACAGTGGGTAGTTGGTTCTATCAAGTTTGATATTGACGACAATGGAAAAAGGTTGAAAGATGGTGGTTTGGGGGTTAGGGTTGATAGCAGTGACATTGTTTCCAGCCATGGAAGCGATGATGGACAGAATAACAGGTTAGGATCTTTTGTTGTTTAGACAAAAAAAGCTCTAGATACCATATAAAAACACTAGTACGCAGTGCTCTCTTGATTGGGATTTGGTAAGGTGTGCAGAGATGTTTATCAGGTTGGATTCAATCTGTCAAATATATTTATCTGCTGCAATTGCAGCAGGGTTTTATATACAGCTTTAATACATACGCATGCTAATAAACAAAGCACATACACATGCTAATAAACTAAGCACATACGCATGCTAATAAACAAAGCCACTGCAAGTGGCATCCTTTACAGCTTTACTACATACCTATGCTAATAAACAAAGCCACTGGAAGTGGCGCTGTCCACTATGCATAAACATACAATTCTTAACTTGGGAATATGCTTTCAATCTGTAAAGCACAGTGAATGATGGTAGGTACATACACCCATGCTTGTGACAGGGATTCTGCACTGCATGTGGAGCATCAGTACACCCATGCTTGTGACTGGGATTCTGCACTGCATGTGGAGCATCAGATCATGGGTTAACAGTTACTTCATGCATACTTCAAATAATGTGGTAAACAGAAGAAGCAGTTCAAAACAGCAGGATTTAGAGTGATTACATTGACAACCTTGATAGACGAACAATCTACAAACCAAGTTAACACCCAATGGCCCCCCCAACAGTCTCAAGAGGACCTAATCAACTTCTAAATTCTACCCATGGCATACAGATTACATAATGATATAACATACATTTAACATATTACACTTGGTCTGCAGCCTAAAATAATCGAACAATATCCGAAATGTAGCAAATAAAAACTAATTTTGACAGCTTCACGTAATACAAAATAGAAACACCTCAATTCACTAGAGATCATAAATCATATCCCTTCAAACTTCCTGTATTTAGAAAGAAAAATAAACTTGTGAGTAGGGTGCAACTTGGGCGAATTGGACGAGTTAGATGGTTGACCAAAATCTAACCCAACATTTCTAATTCGGGTATGGGTTGGGTTTGGGTTCCTAGGGGTTTACTCAAGTACGAGTTTAAATTGGGTTCGGCTTACTCGAGTTAAATTTGGGTTTGCCCAATTTTATCAAATTCAATCTTCTAACACATTATTTATAAGATAAATCTCAAATTTTGAACCAAATAATGCAAAACTGTTTAAAATTCAATTTTACACATCACCATCCATAATAAAAATAAACCAAATAGCGTGGAACGCATATCAAAAGTTCCAACCATGCAAAGTTGAAATTAAATGACAAGACAATATCAATGCTTTAACCAACAATAAAACGTAAAAGCAACTAGGGTCGGGCCAGGCCCAATTTTGAAGGAACCAAACTTTACCCGTTTTAAACAGTAATGGGGCAGGCCGGACCGAGTAGAGGGTTTTTAAGTTTGGGAACCGGCCCTAACCAGGCCCGTTTCAAACGGGCCGTTTCGAGGCGGGTCCACGAGCCCAATTAACTTTTTTCTTTTTCTTTTTTGGTTTTGATACAGAGCTCCAAAACGTTCCACGGTTCCAAATTGCTCCCACTGCCAACGAAATCGACGGGTTGGAAGCTACCCGCACCAGAAGCTGAACCACCAGTGGTGAATCGGTGAAGGTGGTGGTCCCCGTCACTCTTGCTCATCTCTCCCAATCCCAAATCAAGGTCTCTGTCTCTTGACTCCGATCGACGACGATGGCACAAGGCTCCAATCTGACTCAGATCGACAATGGTAGTCTTCTGTATGTATTCCGTGAATTGAACCTTGTTGGCGAACACGCCGCTGGCTACGATGAGCTTTTGGGTGTCGAGCACCATGATTTTGTATGATTTGCAAGACGACGAAGCCATCGCTTACCAAATTGAAGATGAGTTCCATATCCTTCTGATAAAAGGCAGAAAGTCCCAATTTTTTATTATATTTTCCACCAAGATGAAACCTTTTGTCAAAAATGTGCACGTGGGGGCAATGCCTTTGTGTTCTTTGAATGGGTATTTCAGAATCTGATTGATCTCCTAGGTTTTTTGAATTTTGATGCTCCATCCATATTGGTTTTGTAGAAATCTCGAAGCAATCGACGCAATCAATTCAAGGGTGGGAGGGAGAAGAGAATGAGGAATAGGTGGTGCCGTCAAGGGAGCTGAGTCGTCATGGTGGTGGAGGAGATGACTCGAGTGGGAGTCTAGTTTAAGTCCAGGAAGGAAAGGGACGATGGGATGGAATGGCTAATGGATTAGGTTTCGAGAATTAGTAAATGGGTTATAGTTAGAAATAGGCCATCCGGGGTCCCGTTATCCAAATCCTAGGACTCGGTCCGCCCCTTAAATACTATGGACCTGCCCCGCCCCATTTCTATTCTCAAAAAATTGGAACTGGCTCGTACCAGCCCCGAACCATGATTGCCCGCCCCGACCCGCGGTTCCTGTACCCGTATGCCCACCCTTAAAAGCAACACTTGTTCATTGTTCAAATACAAAGCAAACAACAAACTCAAGTATAGTCCTCCCAAACTTTTATCTAGTTATATAATATGAAGTGGGACGGGTAATATGTGCATGAGCAATTTGGGTTAGAAATCAGATTGGATTTGGCTTGACATGGACAAGCAAACATCAACCCAACCCAACCCAACCCAACCCAAAAGAGGTGGGTTCGAAAAATCGAAAACTGAAAACAAACCGAACCAAACAACAAATTGAAACCGAAATAAACTGAACCAAAGAAAAACCGAACCGGATTAGAAAAACCAAATCGAACTGGATCATATTGATTTGGTTTTGGTGTCAAGAGTTCGGAAAACTAAACCAAACCGAACCGAATTCTAAACCGATTTAAACGATTTTTATGATACACAAGTAACCCTTACTAACTAATACATTACTGTGTACATATGCAATTAGTTTAAGGATTCGTTATTGTTTTTTATTGTACGATTAGTTTAAGGATTTGTTATTGTTTTTTATTGCCAAGTGATGAAATGGATTTTGGCAGGAGCCAATTACTTAACGAAGACACGGTATGAAATGGATTCTATGTTAATTTCCCATTGCATATAATTATTAGAATTCAGTTTTTGCATTATAATTATTTGAGGTCAGTGCCTTACGATTGAATAAGGCTTTTGCCCAGTTGTTTTATTTGGTACTGGAGTATATGCATCTTCCCTTATTTTTGGTAATGGAATAAATATGCATCTGCCCTCTCTTTGAAGTTTCAACAATGCATACATTAGTGATATAATGTATCATGCAACATTGTTAGTACTTATTGAAAAAATATATATATAAAAAACCGAACAAAAGTCAAGCGAATGAAAAAATTAAAAAAACAATCGAATTGAATAGTAACTTCAATTTCGGCAAAAAACCAAATAGAAAGGAACCAAACCCACCCCTACAACCAAATAATAATCAGGTTGAGGTCGGGTTGGGTTTGGACGAGTTTTTCCTTCATTCTAACCTTCTCGATCGGGATTGAAATCAGGTTGGGCATGACCCAACTCATGTTGCATCCCTATGAGGTCGGGTTGGGTTCGGACGAGTTTTCCTTCATTCTAACCCTCTCGATTAGGTTTGAAATTAGGTTGGGCATGACCCAACTCATGTTGCATCCCTACTCATAAGGAGTGCAAATGAAAATTTTAAAGTAATAATAGCAGTTCTCAACTTATTTTTACAAACCTCCTCATCATTGCATTTTAATTTAAAAAAAAAATCATTTCTCTCCCACTTCTCTCCTTTTCATATATTATATATATATATATATATATATATATTTAACTTTTATATTTGAATCTAGTAAACTATAAAATAAAGAAAAAACCCATTTTGCTTCCAATTCCATCTTGTGCTTTCTTCCCCTCCCAACAATGAAAGCCCTCACTTAAAACTTATTCACTTTCTCTAAAACCAACTCTCAAAAGTCTACATCTTTAAACCCTTTTTCTTTCCAGAGAATCCAAGCGAAAGCAAAAGCATCGCGATTAACTCACAAAGCGAAAGGCTGGAGAGGTGGACGACCGTGGTGGCCACTGCACTTCTGCCTATTTCCTCTTGACTGCTGATTACGGCTCCGAGCCCAACGCTCTTGACCCTGTAAGTTCCTTTTTCTTCCCGCAATTTCATCTTCAGAATTCAAACTTTGATCCTGTTACGAAAAGGGTAGCGAGAAAATGAAAAATTAATATTTGGGTTCACAATTTAATTTCTCATGTGTGCAATTTGAGCTCACAAATTTAGGGGTTTTTCCATTTCGGGTTTGATTTACAATTGTTAGTTGTAGAATGAAGGTGTGTTGTGTAACTGGACTAGTTGGGTATGTTTTGTTTTCGCTTTTTGTCGATTTTGTTCTTGTCTTTTTAGCAAAATGATAATGTGAGTGAGATTTTGGGTAGTTTTCTCTGCTTGTGTAGTTACCACTCTGTAATCACAAATATTTTGGTATTTGATTGCTCAAGACACCCAAAGCGATCTTTCTATCACTTAGATTGGATTGTTTAGGACGAAGCCAAAGTTGTGATTGTAAAAAGCTGGAGAAAATGTGATTTAGGAATGCTTTTGGACCGCTATGCTTTGTAGATAATTGAGCACTTTCTCTTTTCTTCCCTGAATGTAGAGAGAAGCATTTTTAATCAGTTAGGAACGACATGTTTTGCGAAAATTGGTAGTTGAAGGTACCTTAGAGTACCTGGACCTAGTAACTCTACTTGCATGACCAATAAAAAGAACAAAACCGGAAAAAAACTTAGTAAATCCTTGATTGCTGTTTTATCTGCATTTGTTATCATTGCTTACAGTTTAATTTCGCTTGCAGTTCATTGATGTCAAAACGATTGTTTCTCCAACAACTTATGCCCAGTGTAGTTTGTCTTATCTCATGAGTGACAAGCTCTCAACGATGCAATGCAGGCACAAGTAGTTTCCCCAGTTTGGAAACTCTCAAAGACAAGGGGGGATTCTGCTTTTAATCACAAGGACTTCAGAACCACATTTGAGTGTTTTTCACATGTTAGGTTCTTATTATGATACTTGTGGGAAATTCTGAGTAGAGGTTTGATAAGAGTTGCTTTCATGTTCATACCAATATTTGAATTTGGCCTTCAATAGGATGTTCTTTATCTGACCTGTTAAAATAAATTACTAAACACAACTTCGCACGAAATTTTGTTTGGTCTTTGGTGTAAGATATCCAGTCAGAATACGATCGTTGCATTTTATCTTCTAATTAATGATAGGAAGATTTGAAGAAACGAAATTGGTAATTTAAGGTATCTTAGAGTATTTGAACCCAGTAACTCTACTTGCATGACTAATAAAGGGAACAAAACTGAAAGGGAAAAAAAATTGGTAAATCCTTAATTGCTGCTTTCTCTGCATTTGTTATCGTTGCTGACGGTTCTATTTCACTTGCAGTTCATTGGTTTGGAGCAATGGTTTCTCCAACAATTTTTGCCCAGCGTAGTTTGTCTTATCTCATGAGTGACCAGCCTCAGGAAGCTATAAACGATGCAATGCAAGCACAAGTAGTTTCCCCAGTTTGGCACCTGCATGTTATCTTCAGGCTGTTGCCCTTTCGGCCTTTGGAATGGATGGTGCAGCTCAAGCAGCACTTACGGAGGGTACTATGCTTGAATCCTAAAGGAGCAAAGCAGTTGGACAGAAGTGAAAATCTAGGCCGGTCAACAAGGTGCCTAGTTTGCCACTTCTCTCGGTTTGGCTCTCAGCTTATATAGCCGCCGATCATAAGGTTTAAAACCACTGGAGCCAAAGCTTCATCATTTCCATGGTATTAGATTTTGTCATCTTCCAGCAGTATATGTTGTATTTGAATTGTTTTATTTGATTTGATTTCCCGTGCATCAAATGATTCGAGTATATGAGTTACTTTGACAAAATAGAAAGAAAAATAGAAAGTTGTAAAAAACACTGGTAGGGAGGATGTCATTCAGAAGCTTGTAATTTGTGTGTAGAAAGCATATAGGATTCCTGGTGTATTATTTATGATGAATTTTAATAATAATTAGTTTGTTAAATGTTGTCTGATCATTGAAAGACATATGCACAAGACTGCAACCAATCCATTGAACTAAAATTTATGACAAACAAAACAATCATATGCAGTCCAGAATTAACTGAATTTCTTTAATTTATATCATGAATCAAAACATATACTGCAGAAAGGTCTTGATAAAGTAAATGTAGCAGTAAACTTCTTACAAATAATTAACACTAACAAATCATCTGCCAAGGAGATTTAGTAGTAAAGTTCTTTATTATGATAACTCAATACTTAGAAAACTTGTACAGATAATGGTCCATGAAAGCTCTTTCAGTGAAGTGAAGCCGTCTACACTGTCTCAAAAGACGCTGTAGATAAAAATAAACAAGTACATGCAATTAAGTTTTGAAGAAGACAGTGAAATTAATCTGAAAGACTTTACGAATAGATGCATGCATATTGCTTAAATTTAAGAAAGACAAATAAAATCACATTTACATACCATTGCTTAATTGAAGTGCTGCTTGATTGAAATCACCCTCACATAAAACCAATCATTCAAGACATTCAACAACCTGAAGTATGAGTATCTCCCATGGCCTCACAAAAATCAGACCGCCACAAACTCCCCAAAATCCAACAATGAAGCCAAGCGCCATGCTGATGTAAAATCCCCATGTTATAGGCTCATCCTTTTCTTCTTCGTTGCTCAAGATCGGAGTTTCCTGTTGATCACCACAGATCTTTGGAAGTGGAGGTCTGCACAGCTGAGGATTTCCAGCATAATCAGAGGGATCAAAACTTTGGAGCTGAGTGCCAGTTGGAATCTTGCCAATAAAGTTATTGTATGACAAGTCCAAGACACTAAGACCATATATCTGAGCAAGGCTTGTTGGAATTCTGCCATCTATCTGGTTTCTTGACAAATCAAGGGCATCCAATGATTGCAACTTTCCAATCTTTGCAGGTAACTCACCTGTCAATCCGTTTCTCGACAGGTTTAAAGAAACTAACCCAACAAGATCCGTGATTTCACTTGGAATCTCCCCCGTTAATCTATTGCTTGAGAAATCAATTCTCTTCACAAGTCCCAAAGTGTTTTTGTACGAGTACATTCTTCCCTTCCATATAAATGTTGCATCATCCATATAATTAACCGCCTAGAAAGTATCATCTCTTAGGTACGAATGTTGAAGGGTCGGAGATGAGTTTCCCTTCTGTGCCAAAACAGTAAAATTGCTGAGGCATTTTGGTATTGTTCCAGAGATGTTATTCGCAGACACATCCAAGTTTTGAATGTTTGTTAGACGGCATAGTTCAGATGGCATGCTTCCATTGAAGTTACTAGAGGAAAGCATCAGGACTACCAATTTCTGAAGGCTAACCCCTAACCATTTTGGTATGGGTCTTGATAATTGATTGTATCCAACATCAATAACTTTTAAACTGGTGCAATTCTTTAAGGATGAAGGAAACTCGCCAACAAATCTGTTGCTTCTTAATTTCCATGTTTCCACGTGATATAGTGAGCCCACTGTGGATGGAATTTTGCCGGAAAAAGCATTGTAACTCAAATCAAGCATGACTAGATGGTCAAAATGTGTCCAGTATTGTGGAAGTTCGCCGGAGAGATTGTTGTTTGAGAGATTAAGAAACATTAAACTCTTGTATGCTTGTGAACCCGAACAATTCCGATTCCAGAGTCGCTTCTTTCTCTGGAGGTGGAGAAACCCCAAACGCAGAGCTTGTGATCTTCCTTGTGATTATCGATTCGGCAAAGGCAACAACAAGACGGAATGCTTGGCAAAGCGTGAGACAGCAACAACAACAAGACGGATGGTTGAATGGGTTTTGTGTTTATGTGTTGAGTGGTTATGTATAAACCTATTTTTCGTTTCTGGACACTTTTTTTTTCTAGACACTTAATTCTCTCACACATTTCGTTGATGCTTTTCCTAGGCAAATATATACAACGAAGCGCTAGAAATCAAGTGCAGAGAAGAATAAGATGCACCCTTGCGATTTCATATGTTCAATTTTCTCGACTTATATGCACGGTACGAATATATGAACACAGGAAAGTCCATATCTGTCAGTAGTGCTAGTGTAAAAAATATATAATAGATAAGCATATATGTGTTCAAATAAGTACAAGTTAAAAAAAAAAAAAAAAAAATGTCATGTCTTATCCCGCATATAAATATTGTATCAAATAACAGACAAAATAAAGATAAGATAGTCATTTAATCTTTTAATTTCATTTTGTCATGCGCTTACTAAATGCACTACGGATACCAAACATAACACGAAACCTCCGTTCCGATCCGTCAGCGTACCAAACAGTACCTTAACTCACTAAGTTCTGAGGCTATTTCAAAAGCTTCCGTCTTCATTCGCTCAGCGAGCGAGAGGAAGTGTTGGATTGGCTCAAGAAGCAGAGAGGGAAAGGACCCAGTAAAAGGTTATTAATTTGGTTCTATAGGGAAGCTTTTAATTTCGGGGTTTTGGGTTTTTGGAATCTAGGTCGTGCTGTTTCTGTCGATTTCAGCTTCGCCAAGTTGCCTCAGGTGCAAGCATTTGATCTCCAAAGTCCCGGCGTTGCAGATGATTGGCGTCCAAAAAGAGAATGTAATTTTGGATACAAAAATTGACCAATTATCATGTACTTACAAGGAGGCGAATTCGACCACCTATTTCTGGACAAAGTACATTTTGATTCTGGTTATTGATGAGATTTTTTTATTTTTCTGTTTAGAGTTCTGTTGATTGCATTCAAATATGGATGTAATGTCCATTGAATACCCTCATCTGGGTATTATCGATTCGTATCAAATTCTGCGTGTATTGGGTTTTCTGGCATGCTCTGTTTGGATGCTCAGAAAGTTTGGTGGGAATTGAAAATTCAGTTTGGAAATGAGAATGCGAAGTCGTTTTCAATGTCTGTTATGATGAGTTCGATGATTTTCGGCTTAGTTTTGGCTAAGAAAGAATTAGTGTTACTTATTGACTTAGGAGGATTGTCGTCTCGAAAATTAAGAAGGGTTAGTGCTATTGTACTGGCACTTGCATTTGTTTTGGAATGTGTTATTGGCATTCCAAAAATCTCATTCTACACTCCTTACAAGTGTATTTTTCTTTCTAAATATAGAAAATTTGGAGTGTAGAATGAGAATTTTGAAATGCCAATAACAATTCTTTTGTTTTGAACCTACAAAATATTTGTGGCCGTTTGCGGTACTGAAATCCGATGACTTGAAAGTATCGAATGAGTTGGTGCACAAACTCCGAATACCTGAACGCACGAAATAATTTGTTTACACAGTTCGTGAGCATGAAACTCAGTCCGTAATTTACGTACTTTCTGCTCAAAGTTTATCTGAGTGGTCAGCAACGGATGCCGATTGTCTAATTAGGGAGATTAGACCTGATGCTCTCGTTGCCCAGATGGGTCATCCAACTCTGACTGAAATTCAATCCGAAGAAAGTATGGTACGTGTATGATGTGATGGCTTTGGTAACTCATTTCCCACTTCATCGTTAAGAGTTCTGAAACGGTGTTTCTTGGAGAAGGTTAATAAGGAGAGGTATGAAGATATTGCAGGAAACTTGATTGTACAAGAGATTTTTGGGGTTGGTTTTTATGGACATTTTTTGGCAGCCAAGAGGGTGGCTCAGGAGGTTGGATCATCATTCTTGGTGCCTGAATTGCCATTTGTAAAAAGTTCTGGTGCGGAGGATGCCCCAGGTGAACTTGAAGCAGTCAGCAAGTTCCAGGGTGGGTTAGTGGCGTGGTTCCACAGAAAGTGGGTGCAGTTGCTGCGTCGAATTCAATGAGGTTATACATAACCAATGATTTACAATCACAGATGATTGAGTTATTATCCCCATATATTGATTTATCAATATCGAGGCTAAGTCCATCAACTTCTGTTTCTGAGGTGGCGTCAAACGAAATTTAGCTGCAATCCAATTATGAACAGAGGTGAAGCTATAGATGCCAATGTTATAACTGAAGTCTATGCCTTTCGGATTGCAGTCAAGGGGCTGAGAATTTCTTTGAACAATGCTGGTTGCCTTCCCATTAATAAAATAAGGGATCCGAACTTCAGGTTGAGTTTTCTGATCTTCCAGTTGAAGACAAGGCACATGCTCTGCTGGTAGGGGCCATTCGTGGCCAGACTAAGAAGTTCAAGACCATAGTGACAGTAGTGGATGCCAGTGGCTTAGCAGGTCTTAGAAAACACTGGAACACGCCTGTCCCTTTAGAGGTCAAGGATATGGTTGGAAAGCTGGTTACTAATTGCGAAGGTGAGGGGGAAATGTCGAATGATATTGCAAGGAAACGACTGCTAACTGATAAACCCTTGGTGGCAGTAGGGGCAGGGGCAACAGCAGTTTTAGGAGCATCTTCACTCTCAAAGGCTGCATCACTCAAAGTTCCTGCTTCAACCTTGATGAAAGTGGTGACTTTCAAAGTTCCAGCTTCCCTTAAACTCTTTCTAAGCCAAACCCATAAGACGGTGGGATTTGCTCTTAGTAAGTGTCAAATTAACAACTTTACTGAAAGCAACTGCTTCTGCCGAGAAGATCTGAGTAGCTGCCCATAGTGTTAGAGCTGCTGCAGAGAAGACTAGCTTTTCAGCCATGAGAGCAGCATTCTATCAAATAATGAGGAAACGGCACATCCGGAAAATTGGTGTCCTACCGTGTGCTACTATTGGGTGTAGTATTGCAATTTGTGTCAGATTGGTTGCGTACGGAGATGGGATTGAATGTGAACAGCACGGAGAGATAGCACGAAAGTACAAAAATCTATTTGAGTCTGTCATGTACAGATTGAAGAAAGTCAGAACTCAGTAGTAAGAATGCAATTCTTATCTTATTTATATACTTCATTGAACTTACGGTAAATGTGGAGTTTATAACAATCTTTGTTGAGAACTGAAAGAGAAAGTGTCTAGAGCAGGGGTTCTTTGTCTCGTCATTTGTGTTTTTCCTAGTTCTGTATTGGGAATCTGTTTCTTGAAATAGATGCCTATACGCAAATTTTGCAGGAATTTTTTGTGTACATTGTAAGTGTTGGGAGTTATTTTGAGCGGAGTTAACTTAAAAAAGAATGATAGTGAGTACATTTATTTGTGAACAAAGATTTGTCTCTATACAGATTTGAGCAATGTCTAACTATTACAGTATAAAACATTTCGCACATGGAATCTCCATTGCTTCTTCAATAGATCGTGCTCTTCACTCCAATACAGGCACTGGTTGAATTTTGTTATATGTTGCATAAGGCAACTCCGGGCGCCAACGGAATTGCAAGAAAGTGGCATACTAAGAGTCTGTTTGTTTGTTTGTATCTTTAAGAGCGTTCTGATGACTAGGATTCTGATTAAGTTTTGACAGTTTCTTTTCGAACTTGCCTTCTTACACTCACAATTTCCATCCCACTCCTGTCCAACCCTCACTCGTCATTGTTGTCAATGCTCGCAAACCTAGTACTCATTTCTCTCTCACACGTTTTGGTACTTAGCTTTGATTGCAAATTATATATATTGTACGCTATAACATATATTAACAATTGTAAAGAAATTATGGACCTTTAATTTGGAAAAACCAATAGTAAGAGTTGGTCTTTGTGTCCCAAACTGAAAGTGGGATAAACTTAGAGGAAGTTTGAAAAAGCGTCCAATCCGTCAAAGAAATAGTGGTTTTCAGTCTAACGTTGATTGGGATCTCAGAGAGACTGTAATGGATTCTAATGACATCGGTCAAAATTTCTAATACAAGGTGAGCTTACACTGCCTTTGGATCTGTTTTTTGTGCCTGTCTCTCTTTGCTTTAGTGCTTTTTGCTCTTTTATGAGAGATTCATATGGAGCCTATTAAGGTTATCGTTTCTGTATAAATATATTTCTCAATTCTTATATGGTGTCTGGTGGTTGTTAGGGAAGAGGTGCAATTCACGTACAAGCAAAGGTGGAGGCTGTGTATATGTAGGGATACCGTCCCAAGAAAAGGTAAGTTTGCAATTTTTCGTCTCGAGTAGAACAAATCCATGTAAACGGTGTAATTTTCTGCCTATATTTTAATTTGAGTTAATATAGTGCTTAACTAACAACGTGTCGATAAGTTCAAGTAAAATCACATTCATTGGGTTCATTCATCTTTATGGGCAACTTTTTTGCACAAGTGATATTGGAGAGTGGGGAATCGAACTCAGGACTTTGGGTGTTAGAATCTCATTTCAGTTTCTGTTTTTAACTTTTTACATGTGCGCATTGTTGAAGACGGACATTATTCATGGATTCGAATCTCTACATTTTGTGCCCAAAAGATTCATATCTTCACCAACTTCACAAAGATGCTAAATCATGATTTGTATCAAAACATTCTGTATTTTCTTTTATTTTTATGGTAATTTTAAGGATAAATCGAGATTAAATACTAAATCGTATCCGGCGTAACTTATTAATTTCGTATAGAAACGGTGCCGTAAAGCTAACTAATGATTTTATTGTTACTTAGTTTAATAATCCTCGACTCCTGGGATGTTTTTAATAGATTAATGGTAGATTTGGTTGTCTATAAATTATAAGCAAATAAATAAAAACAAACACCGTTACCATCACAGGGAGAGCCTTTTCTCCTCTTGTTCTATATGGATTTTTGAGCTATTTTTTCAACTATTACATTCTTTTTCTCTAATTTTTTTTGCGATTTGGGTTTTGTTTAGAATTCAGTTCTATGGTTTGTAAGGCAAAAAGGTTGGATCTTGTGGGGGTTTTGATCTGATCAAGAAAGGGAAGAAAAAGACGTAGAGTGAAAGAATCCCAGAAAAAAAGGGTTTGAGCATTGGAGAAGCAGCTGAAAGGTTTTACAGCTTCATTTTTTTTTATCTGGGCCAACTGAAAAAGTGCTTATTCGGTTTTTGGTGCTTATTGATTTTCTGGCCAGCTGTGAAGCTTTTGCTTTACTGGGTTTTGGTGATTTTAGCTTCCCCAAGTTGGTTGAGGTATTAGAAGAACTTTTCAAGTTGTTTCTGGTTCATTGCATTATTATCAGGATAAGTTTATAGTCATAATGTTTTCATGATAAGTTTATAGTCGAGTTTATTTCTTGGTATTGTGATTATAAGGAAATGGGATTCAGTAGATAATTTCTACTTTGATAAATTATCAGGAGGTTTTGAAGTTTAGTCGGCGTGAAATCAAAGGAATCTGAGTTTAGTTGGGGTGGTTTTGTTTAGAGGCAGAGATTGAAAAGGGGATTTGCAGTTCAAGTTGATACGTGTAACGTGAGTGACATTGAGGTGGGGGTTCAATGCTCCAAACTCATACCATGTTGCTTGAATTCACATACGAAGGCAGCGGTTCTCGAAGCTCCTGACATTGGTGGGTTAATATCCATGTTTCTTTTGTTCTTGCGTTTTATATTTTGATGGAGAAACAGATCATATCTGATGCTTGTGGATGGTTTACCTGTAATACAGATGATGAGGAGAAGACCAAGGTTGATAACTTGCCTCCATTTTGTGAATTCACGTTTGAGCAACTTAAAATTGCGACATCTGGTTTTGCTGTCGAGTACACTGTCTGAGCAAGTAGAGAAGGCTCCAAATGTTGATAAAGGGAAACTCGAAAATCAGAAGAGAATTGCTGTTAAGCGCTTCAATAGGATGACCTGGCCTGAATGCTCGGCAATTTTTGGTAGGCATCCTTTAACTTGGTACTTTTCTATCTCAGAATGATTTAATTCAGATACTTTGGTGACGAAAACTGGTCTGCATTTTGTAAGGCTTGCATCACATCTTTTCCATTGTAAGGCGTACTCATACTAATACGAGGTTTTTGGTTACTGATCTATGTTGGACTCATTTTTAATGGTTGGATACTGGATCCATTTAGTGTTGCAATTGCCTCTGCTTAATAGTTTCACTTAACTTTGGGTTTTTCATTCGGAAGGGATATATTGGCATGTTAAGCATCACGTTTATTTAATAAATGAGGGCTACGTTATGTTAGAACTTGTGGATGCGCTTTATCACGACCTCAATGCTTACAGAATTTTATTCAATGAGGTAACTATATTTTGAGTCCATCTGTTTGATAACCTTTCCTAGTATATTCTGATTGTATTCGTTTATTTTATTTATTATAACTTTTCAGGATGGCATTCCCAGAATATCCGCCTTTGCCTTATTGAAAAAAGTAGGGATGGGAAGAGTTATAGTACAAATCTGGCATTTACTCCTCCTGAATATATTAGGACTGGTGGGTAGATCGTGGAAAAAAACGGTGTATTTGCTCCAAATAACTCATTCAAATTTATGATTTACTTGACAAACATCCTTTAAGTATGCTGTTCAGCAATTATTGTACACCGCAGATCCCTTGTCTTGCAGGGAGAATAACACAAGAAAGTGCAATATATAGATTTGGACTCTCTTGATTGATCTTCTCAGCGGAAAGCGTATCCCCTCTAGCCATGTAAGTGATTGTTCAAATGGTGAACTGAACAAAAATAAAGGAAAAACCATTTGTAGGAAAAGATAAATTAGTGTCCTTCATAGGATATATAGATTTGGACTCTCTTGATTGATCTTCTCAGCGGAAAGCGTATCCCCTCTAGCCATGTAAGTTACTCTTTTACCTACGATAAAATATAGTTTAATTTCAATTGTTATGAACTCTGCGTGAGGATTTATCCTTCTTAGGATATGTAAACACAAGTAAGTAAATTTATTCATCCGGTGGTTGATCATTTTGTCCCATGCCCTAGACCTGATTCGAGACAGAAATCTTCAGATGCTGACAGATTCTTGCTTGGAAGGACAGCTTTCTAATGATGATGGTACTGAGTTGGCACGCTTGGCTTCACTATGTTTACAATCTAAACCCCGAGAGCTACCAAATCTAAAGTCATTAGTTGCTTCTTTGACTCCTCTTCAGGAAGAAATTGAGGTTGGTTCTCTCTCCTTTGTTTCTCTTATTAAGCATTCTATTCCCAACTTTACTCGGGGAGCATAGTTTGACTACTTAAAATCTTCACACAATTGTTTGTAGATCTATAGTTTAGGGCAGTCTTGTAAGCAATATAGTCATACGTTATCTTCTTTTCACTGGACACAATCTCAGCTATTTGTGTAAGTTCGTATCCACCGATTTTTAATTTGTTGTAATACTGAACCTTGTACCAAGCGGAAATTATTTGAAAATTTGGGAAAGGGGCATGACACTAATTTGTTATTAGTGAGGACTTGAGAGAGCTACACTCTTGTTTAGTGCCTTTCATGGTGAATGATACTCTATAAAATATGAATCTCTATGCCCTGAAACTGTGGGTTGTTAACTACAAGGGTTTTCATTGATACCGTACTTGTTGGGTGCCAATTAGAAACAATCAAATCTGCACCATCGTAGTAGTAAGTAGTTTAATCAAATATAGATGCTTAACTTGATGCTGGTAGCTATATCCGGTTCCTTCTTTTGTTTTGATGGGTATCCCACATGGTACCTCCTGGTCTTCTCATTCACCACTCGGTGAAGCCTGCTCAAGAAGGGATTTGACTGCTGTACATGAGATCATAGAGAATATCGGCTATAAAGACGATGGAATGACAAATGAGGTTCTATATTTGTTTAACTAATGGAGAAATATCTAATAAGTTGTGTTGTATACATATTTAGCCTTCCCAATAGTTACGTTCCACTGCAGATCGTAAAAACCAAATTAATCGTGATGAATCAATGAGAGAGAGATCACATACCGCAAATTACAGCTTATCTATTAAGCATCCGTTAATTTCCGCTTGATCAACACTACCCTCACATAAAGCCAATCATTCAGCGAATTCAAGAACTTGAAGTATGTGTACCTCCATTCCCTGATGAATATCAGACTTCCACAAACTCCCCAAAATCCAACAAAAAACCCAAGCCCCATGCTGATGTAAAATCCGTAGCGTATAAGCTGATCATCCTTGTCTTCTTCGTTACTAACTTGATATGGACCCATTTCTTCGATATCACACGGATTTTGAAGTGGAGGTCCACAGAGCTGTGGATTTCCAGCATAAACAGAGGGATCAAAACTTTAGAGCTGCATGCCAGTTGGAATCTTTCCAATCAAGTTGTTGTGTGACAAGTCCAAGACACCAAGACGACTTATCTGAGCAAGGCTTGTTGGAATTCTTCCGTCTATATGATGTCTCGACAAATCGAGTGAATCCAAGGACTCCAATTTTCCTATGTCTGGAGTAATGTGACCTGTAAGTTGGTTTCTAGAAAGGTTTAAAGAAACCAAGCCAACAAGATGACTGATTTCGCTTGGAATCTCCCCAGTCAATCTATTGCTTGAGAAATCAGTACTTCTCACAAGCCCCAAAGTATTCCTGTAAACCTGCATGCTTCCTTTCCATATGAAGATTTCATCGTCCTCATAAATATCCTCCTAGGATGATTGTTGATCAGCACTTCTTGAGTAAGCATGTTGGACGGTTAGAATTGAATTTCCTTTTACAGCCAGAGTAGTCAACTTTTTTAGGCAATTCGATATACCTCCAGATATGCTGTTCACAGAGACATCCAAAATTTGAATGTATATTAGATCACATAGTTGCGAGGGCAAACTTCCATTGAAGTGGTTAGAGGAAAGCATTCAAGTTCTGAAAGCTAGCCCCCAACCATTTAGGTATTGATCCGGACAACTGGTTATCTACAAGATCAATAACCATTAAACTTGTGCAATTCTTCAAGGATAAAGGCAACTCTCCCACAAACTCATTGCTTCTTAATTTCAACATTTCGATCCCAAACAAGGAGCCTATCGTGGTAGGAATTTTTCCCAAAAGAGCATTGGAACTCAAATCAAGCATGACGAGGTTGCTATGTGTCAAGCATTCTGGAAGTTCTCCAGAGATATTGTTGTATGAGAGATTAAGAAAACGTAAACGCATAGCTGCATTTGCACACAAGAAAGAAATCGACCCTAAAATGTTATTATTAGAGAGATCCAAATATGATGCTTGTGATAGAGTTGCGGGAATTTGACCTTCAATTTGGTTCGAACTCAAATGCACTTCAGGATAATTTGCAAAATTCACTGTCAAATTTTTAAACACTTCTCCAATTCGGTTATGGGAAAGAATGATAATTTCCACGTTACGAGTCATACCCCAAAACCAGCTTGGAAGGATATCCACAATTCCAGCATCAGAAATATCGAGGTATGAATACTCATTCTGAGATTGAAGCCATTTCGGAAAATACGGACCCATCTTGCAAGATCCCAAACTTATATATTTCAGTTGGAAAAGAGGAGTCCAATTAGAATGGACGTTTAAAACTAGTGAGTTAGAGGATAAATCTAATACCCTTAATTTGGGGAGTTTAGAGAAATGGGAATCTGAAATCACCCCATCCAAAGCATTCATACCAAGGCCAATAGCCTGGAGCTTTGACATTTGCCAGATACTTTCAGGTATTCTTCCACTTAATTGATTGTAAGAAATATGTAATTCCTTCAACGATAAAAACTTGGTGAGATCAGGTAATGACCCTGCAAGTTGATTTTTATCGAGCCACAAATTCTCCAAGGAGTTTTGAGCACATGTAGACAATATTTGAACAAATTTGGAAAACTGTCCACTCAAATTGTTGCCGTTAAGAAGCAAGGATTGCAAACTACATAACCTAGAGAGAGAATGGGGTTCTGCTCCTTCAAGTTGGTTTTCAGAGAGATCAACATATGCAAGAGAGCTCATGTTCCCGAGAACATCAGGAATTGAACCGGTCAAATGGTTGGAATAGAGATCAAGATCAACAAGGCTGGTATTGAAGTTGGACATCCACATAAAGATTGAAGTTGAGAGACTGTTCAAGGAAAGATAAATGCTAGAAAGAGATTTAGAAGAATTTATGCTTGAAAGAGTGGAATGAACTGGAGGAGAAGGAAGATTACTGAGACTGGCTAATAAAAAACATTACTGAGACTGGCTAAACTCAAGTCCAAATATGTCAACGAAGAAAGACAAGGGAGCCAATTGAGATTTTCTACATTACTGAAGTCATTGCCGCCGAGATCAAGGTGCTGCAAGTTGGTAAGGTTTCCAACCTGAATTGGAAATTTTCCACCAAAATTACACCAAGAAAGATCGAGATATCTCAAATTGGTTAGAGAACCAATGAGATATCTCAAAATATTTCAAATGCTTCAACTCAATCAGTTTAGGACTAATCATCGTACCTTGCAACAAAGAACCAGAACCATGGTCGCTGAGATCAAGCTGAATAACATGGCCAGTTTGGCTGTCACATGAGACTCCTTCCCATCTGCAACAATCTTGTTTTGCGGTTTCTGTTCCCCACGAAGAGAATATTACTTTTAGATGCAGCACACAACACCCCTCAGATATAAATACAAGAGTGCACTGCCTTTGCCCCTGTTAAGTCTAGTCTTGAAAATTAAAAATATGGCGAAATTTTTTGTTCAACCGTGCAGGTGGGTCGAAATTTCAAATGGTGGTGGAGTTTTCCGGTGTGACTGAAACACGGGGTAGTACATCACGTGTTATTATACAAATTGTGGGATATGTATTGATATGGCAAATAACTAGGTCCCACAAGTTTAAATAAATATTACATATACGAATTTGAATTACATTATTGCTAGTCAAGGCTTAGCTCACTCTCACACTTTTTAGTACAGATAATATCGTTTTGTAAATAAAAAAAAATAAAAAAAAGACATAAAATTTAAATAAAATCACCAGCTGACAATTGAAATGATAATCATATTAAACATATGTAACTATGCAAGTATTATAGCAAGGTTTTTATCACATATTGTCTCTGAAATTAAAAAATCGATCAAAATAATCCTTGAAAATGAGTGCCGCAAATTAATTTAGTCCTTACGATAAGAGATCTGGTTCGGATCTCTTTCATCAAAGTTAGGATCAATTGATCATAAAAACAAGCACCGGTAAGTTCCAAGAAGACAATTGATCATAAAAACCAAATTAATCGTGATGAATCAATGAGAGAGATCACATGCCGCAAATTACAGCTCATCTATTAAGCATCCGTTAATTTCCGCTTGATCATCACTACCCTCACATAAAGCCAATCATTCAGCGAATTCAAGAACTTGAAGTATGTGTACCTCCATCCCCTTATGAATATCAGACTTCCACAAACTCCCCAAAATCCAACAAAAAACCCGAGCCCCATGCTGATATAAAATCCGTAGCGTGTAAGCTGATCATCCTTGTCTTCTTCGTTACTAACTTGATCTGGACCCATTTCTTTGATATCACACAGATTTTGAAGTGGAGGTCCACAGAGCTGTGGATTTCCAGCATAAACAGAGGGATCAAAACTTTGGAGCTGGGTGCTAGTTGGAATCTTTCCAACCAAGTTGTTGTGTGACAAGTCCAAGACACCAAGACGACTTATCCGAGCAAGGCTTGTTGGAATTCTTCCGTCTATATGATTTCTCGACAAATCGAGTGAATCCAAGGACTCCAATTTTCCAATGTTTGGAGTAATTTGACCTGTAAGTTGGTTTCTAGAAAGGTTTAAAGAAACCAAGCCAACAAGACGACTGATTTCGCCCGGAATCTCCCCAGTCAATCTATTGCTTGAGAAATCAATACTTCTCACAAGCCCCAAAGTATTCCTGTAAACCCGCATGCTTCCTTTCCATATGAAGATTTCATTGTCCTCATAAAGATCCTCCCAGGATGATTGTTGATCAGCAATTCTCGAGTAAGCATGTTGGACGGTTAGAAATGAATTTCCTTTCTGAGCCAGAGTGGTCAACGTTTTTAGGCAATTCGGTATTCCTCCAGATATGTTGTTCACAGAGACATCCAAAATTTGAATGTATATTAGATCACATAGTTGCGAGGGCAAGCTTCCATGGAAGTGGTTAGAGGAAAGCATTAGGATAACCAAGTTCCGAAAGCTAGCCCCCAACCATTTAGGTATTGATCCCGACAACTGGTTATCTGCAAGATCAAGGACCATTAAACTCCTGCAATTCTTCAAGGATAAAGGCAACTCTCCCACAAACTCATTGCTTCTTAATTTTAACATTTCGATCCCAAACAAGGAGCCTATCGTGGCCCGAAAGAGCATTGGAACTCAAATCAAGCATGACGAGATTGCTACGTGTCAAGCATTCTGGAAGTTCTCCAGGGATATTGTTGTATGAGAGATTAAGAAAACGTAAACGCATAGCTGCATTTGCACACAAGAAAGAAATCGACCCTGAAATGTTATTATTAGAGAGATCCAAATATGATGCTTGCGATAAAGTTGCGGGAATTTGATGTCTTTTTTAGAGACTTCCTCCTCATCGACCTCTTCAACTGCAACATGGTATACGCCTTGGACCATCTCTTCTTTGTCATCCCCTTCGGCTCGTTGGTTCGAGGATTGACCAGAGCATATGGTTGTGCATCGGTTCACTTCAACTGACTGTTCGAACTCCATCCAATGTGGACTGGCATTTCGTGGGCGAAGGGATTAGACTTCGAATCTCATCATACCTGGCTAGGTCGACGTGTCTTTCTTTTTTCTGAAACCGGCTTTCTTTTCCTAGAAGGTTCTATTACCATTTCGAGTGTGGTGTAGGGCCCCATGAATGAGCTGCACCAGTTCAGTGGTGAGAAAAGCTAATGTGGAGCATTATCACGTGGGTGAGATTTGTTTCCCACTCAAAATAACCGTTGGGACTCACTCTTTGAGTCCCGGTTCTCAAATTTGAGGATTTCTTTAAGATATTCGGTGAGTCTCTATATGTTAGGATAATTTGATGACCTCTATTTTGGCACATTAAAACTCCATCTAAGATCCCTACTGGAAAGGCTCACAATACAATAATTCCACTAGACATCATGATTAATAAAATGAGACTTTTTGATGCACTACCAAACTACTTTATTTTTATTCACCAACGTATTAAAATCCTAGTGTATTGTACTTTTATCAAAACCACAAATTTCAAAAATGTAATTAAGTGAACCACTGAATGGGAGGCACTCAGTGGGATGTTAAGGTAAAAAAGATCAATATTATTGAACAAGTGCTTATAGCAAAATCATGCTTTTCATGTCCATTATAGGGCTTGAGTTTGGGGCTATATCTAGCTTTTCTTATTCAAACACAAATCCAATCACTATAGTCTAAAGTTGGGATGCGAACTGCTCTACTCATGTTGGGTGTGAAGTAGGGCTGCCATTTTGAGTTATTAACAATATTGTCGTGGGCTTTTGGGCCTATCTTCACACAAAAATGAAAAACATCTTTGTTTGGGCTGCTTTTTGGGATTTAAATTTTTGAATTTTTTTGGTTTAGGGAGGATAACGTTATTGTGTTGGCGTCCCGATGCTAAATCAATTGTTGTGGGTCTTGAAGGTGCAACAGTTTCTTTGCATGATGTTGAAGTGAGTAAAGTGCTGATCCACTGACGGGGTTTGAGCCATCATGCGAGAGCTTAATACATTTTTACTATTGTAGTAAAATGTCGCTTGCAGTAAAGTGAGTGTTGATTTTGTGAGTAAAATGTTGATTTTTCAGTTAACACAAACTATTGGTACTAATTGGTACTAATTGGTCAGTAAAGTTCCAAACTTGTCACTATGAATTGACAACATGCGTAAATTGGCAATATTGTTATGCAAACGATTAGCACGCATACACGGAAATAGAGTTAAAGCTTATCATATGAATGTGGACTTATGATTTTCTACATTTATGCTTTCTAATTTTTTATTTATTTATTTATTTTTTAAATTTCTTTGATGCAAAGCAGAATGGTAAGCTGTTGAGAAGCTTAAAATCGCATTCCGTTGCTGTTGTTTCACTTAACTGGGAGGAGGATGGACACATGACTAGAGTATGTTGTTGGAGTTTTGAGACCTTTAGTGTCCCACATCGGGGAACTCAATGTTCCCAATTGCCTTTATATATCTTTAGTCCCTTATATTAGTATTTAGGATTTGGACTATTTGGTAATGAATCGAAGGTTTGGGCCTTATGATTGTATGGATTAGGCTTATATAATATAGCCTAAATACAATTAATATTAATTAATTAAGACCAAGACCTTGGGGCACTTAGGGCTTTGGAAGTTAAAATTAATCAGATTCATTAATTTTAATTTCGGATTAAGTTTTTAATTAATTTATTAATTAAAAACGTTTTGATTAAGAGACACAGCTCTTAGAAAGAGTTGTGTACTTTCAAATACCCTGAACATGTATTTGAAAGGGTTTAAAACAACCTATATATTTGCAATCCCAGTTTCCAAGTAAGATCATCCTTTCTTCGTTCTTCTCTTCTGTACAAACTTTCCAGAGAGTAAACACACAAAACAATTCGCTAGAATTCTATAATCCATTGTGGGTTATAGAGTTAGGTAGTTGTATCCTGGTTGAGTAGATGTTATAGAACCACAAGCACAAGAGTGGGACGGAAATTCGGTTCGAAGGATATAGCTTTTGCGCTAGCCTCTACCTTTGATTCATTCAAGTTAGTATCGTTTTAGTTTCTGTATTTATTGTGTAATTTCATTCTGTATTGCATGTATTTTTGAATAATAAAATATAAGTATTCAAGTTCTGTATTTCTGTTATTTCAGTTTCTAAATTGTTCTCCAGCATATGTTTCATCCATCTAATTGCCGGCCATGCACCATTTTGAGTTTAATGGACGAAATCAGTTGGTTTTTCTTTACTTGAGCTTTTTTTGGGCACCTTTGCTAGTCTAATCTAAACCATGGAAGATACTTCTCAAACAACCCGTCTAATTTGAACTATGAACCAAATTCAATCAATTATTTTCAGCAATATCAAAAGCATATGCATAAAATATGTATACAGTATGCACAAATTCAACCATTTCATGAACCAAACTTAAACATGCCCAACATCTATATGCATAGATTATGCAAATAATATGTACCAATTCATGAACCAAATTCAACCAAGTATGTCCAACATCTACACATGCACGGAATATGCACACAATAATACCAATTGCTGAACCTATTTCAATTAATTAATTAATTAATTTCCCGCAACATCAAAGCACATGCACAAAATATGTACATATTATGCACAAATGAATATCGAACAAACCATGAACAAAATTAACTTCAAAATACATGCATTTACACAACCCAAACCATAATCCATTAATTTTCCCCGAATTAACAGTACAAAACACTAACTCGCACCCAAAACCCTAAATTCTCAAATTGGGAAAACCTAAGTTCAAATAATGAAATTTCAATTCAAATTGTACCTGTTTTTTTTTTTTTTTTTTTTTTTAAAATTTTGTCATTGCAGTTGTTTGAATCGATGGATAACAAACTCGCCTTGGCTACAAAACTTACACAAGGGATTGGAAAGTTGGAGACAGTTGAAAAGTTGTGCTATTTGGGGGCTGTGATTCTTCAAGTAGGGGGTTGGGCGAGAGAGATTTTTAGAGAAGGTGTATATGTTGACTGAGTTGAACGAAATAACCCATTTATATGGAAGGGGAATTTGGCCTTTACAAGTTTCAAAAAATCTTATTTCTGTTATGTTCTTGTGCATGCCATGTGCATATCCTATGCATAGTTAAAAAAATCCTATTTTTTATCACAAAATTAAGAAAATTTATCCTTTTTGTTAATTTCCCTATATTATATTTTGAAAACTTTTATATTTTCATCTAGTAAATTCTAAAATGAAAAAAACCCCATTTTGCTTCCAATTCCATCTTTAGCTTTCTTCCCCTCCCAATAATGAAAAGCCCTCACTTTTTCTAAAGAGTAATGGGAAACTAAATTTGAAGATAAAATTTATTAATTAAATGATGTGTCATTAATAAAAGTTAGCACGTTTACTAAATAAGAAACTAATAATCAATTTTCATGTCTTTTAATTATAAATTTTGTTTTTAACTCTTAAGACCAACTTCAATGGTGGGCTAAAAGTCAAATTACCCCCTAAAATTCCCCCCAAACTTACTCCAACCCAAGGGGAAATTTTGGGCTAAATGCTAAATGCTTAACCAACACCAAATTCCCCCCAAAATTTAGCTCAGAAATCGGAGTGGACTCCACCCAATATTTATCGGAATTTAAATTTTTTTTAAATTAAAATATTCATAAAATTAATTTACGATAGTCTACATATTTATTTTTTAAAAAAAGTTTAATTTAACAAAAAAAATATCCTAAGTTCATTTTTTTAACAATCTCGGGCCAAAATTTTAGGCTAGAACAATTAGAGCAGAAAAGTTGTTTCTGAGCTAAAAACTAAATTTTCCATACTAAAAAATTTGGCTTTTAGTCCAACCATCATCTCAGATAGTCTAAGTAAAAAACTAATAATCAATTTCTATATTGTTAGTCCATAATATCGTTTAAAAAAAAAAAAAAAAAAACCATTTTCGCTCCAGAGAATCAAAGCGAAAGCAAAATCATCACGATTAACTCAAAAGCCGAAAGGCCGGTGGGGAGGACGACCATGGTGGCCAGAATCAATGCTCCCTATTTCCTCTTGACTGCTGATTATGGCTCCGAGCCCAACGCTCTCGACCCTGTAAGTTCCTTTTTCTTCCCGATCTTCAGAATTCCAACTTTGATCTTGTTACGAAAAGGGTAGCGAGAAAATGAAAACTTATTCTCTTGTTTCACAGTTTAATTTCTCAGGTCTGCAATTTTAGCTCATAAATTTTGGGGTCTTTCCATTTCGTGTTCGATTTACAATTGTTAGTTGTAGAATGAATGTGGGTTGTGCAACTGGGCTTGTTGGGTATATTTTGTTTTCGCTTTTCGTCGATTTTGTTCACGTCTTTTTAGCAAATTGATAATGTGAGTGAGATTTTGGGTAGTTTTCTCTGCTTGTGTAGTTACCACTCTGTAATTACAAATGTTTTGGTATTTGATTGCTCAAGACACCCAATGCGATCTTTCTATCATTTAGCTTTGATTGTTTACGACGACGACAAAGTTGCGATTGTAAAAAGCTGGAGAAAATGTGATTTAGGAATGCTCTTGGACTGCTATGCTGTGTAGATTATTGAGCACTTCCTTTTTTTCT